GGATGGTATGGTATGGGATGGTATGGTATGGTATGGTATGGGATGGTATGGTATGGTATGGGATGGTATGGCATGGGATGGTATGGTATGGTATGGTATGGGATGGTATGGTATGGTATGGTATGGTATGGTCTGGGATGGTATGGTATGGTATAGTATGGGATGTTATGGTATGGTATGGTATGGTCTGGGATGGTATAGTATGGTATGGTATGGTATGGGATGGGATGGTATAATTTTCAGGGAATTAAGAATTTGTTTTAGTCAAAAAACAATTTGTAACTTTTGCAGCAGATTAGAGGATTAGTTAAAATTTTCATCACAACAAAATAATTTATTATGCTGAGATACATTTATTTAACAAGCCCCGGTTGTTCTGTTGAAATGCACTTTTAAAATTAACAGAGTTGTATAACTTAACCAGTTAATGAAATCCATTCAAATGATTTGCAGTTTCAATAATTACAAAAATCAATTCAATCAATTGCTGCAAGTAATCCAGATCAGTTGAAGTGAAACCAAAGTTTAGACCCACCGTTTCCTTCAACTGAAACAGATGTGCACATTCAAACAACACAAAGGAGTTCAATCAATTAGTAAAAGAAAAAAAAAAAAACAACAACTTTGCACAGAAATCTACACAACAAATAATCTGAATTAAGACAACACAGACTGGTGTTAGTTGAATTAATTTGTGTCATGTAGATTTCACAGTGTGGAATGTTAAATATGCTAATTTAAACAGGCTCAATAAGCATCCATCCATCCATCCATTTTCTTTACCCGCTTGTTCCATTTTGAGTCACGGGGGTCGCTGGTGCCCATGTCCAGCAATCACTGTGCGAGGGGCGGGGTACACCCTGGACGGGTCGCAAGTCCATCACAGGGACACATAGAGACAAACGAGACAAACAACCATTCACTATCTCACTCACACCTAGGGACAATTTAGAGTTACCAATCAGCCTAACATGCATGTTTTTGGTCTGCGGGAGGAAACCGGAGCACCTGGAGAAAACCCACGCATGCACGGAGAGAACATGCAAACTCCACCCAGAAAGGCCCCTGGACCGGGGTTTGAACCAAGGACCTGCTCGCTGAGAGGCAGCAGCTCTACCAGTTGCGCCACCGTGCTGCCCGCTCAATAAGCAAAAATATTTAAATCTCAGCTCATATTACACAAAAAAACAAACTTTGTATGACAGCTATACTATTAGCTTTAACTGTGACAAAACATCATAATTTAATAACTTTGCTTTTGGGATGTTTTTGGCCCAGTTTGGCCATTTAGTCATCCTGGTTCAAAAACGTTTTATTCTTAATAAAAGACAAAAAGTAGCACTATCCTCTGAACATTTAACAATTTCCATTAATTCGGAAATGTTTGCTCATTCATCAAGTTTAGCCAAACAAACAGGAATGAGCGCTCTGTCCTGCCCTCCTGTTGCTTGTGTATCTCTGTAATGATGTTGCACAGAAACCTGCTGTTGTCTTGTCCAGATGTGTGCCTCCAGGGGTTCCAGCAGAGTCACTAATCTGCAGATGTGCAGGTTTATAACCGCTGGGATCTTAAACAACATCTCTTTCCATTACAGACAATGTTTGAAAAGGTTTGAACAGCTGATTGCTGGTTTATAGGTTGTCCAACACTCACAAGAAACATTTTGTTTAAAAATGACGATAAAGTCACTAAAACTTTTGACTCAGTGCAGAACAATCCTCCAGAAATACACAGTCAATAGTAAATGTTTAACATTTTATTCAGCCATGAAGTTGATTTACTTGAATTTCAAATGGCTTTTTAGCCCCTTGATAAATATCTGGGCTTACTATGCTAAGTTTTTACTGCAATTGGTGCTGGCCATTAACTATTAAACTATTTAAATAAGACTGAAACTTTATGTGACATACAGTAAATATTATGTCTCTCCCAAGATTATCTTTTGTGCAGCACGTCTGATCGTGATTAATTCTTGGTACATTTTCAAAGTAAAAGCCCATTTTGTTGGCAATCTATTTTTAAACATGTTGAGCACGAGGAAATATGATCATCTGGGTGTAGTATATTACTTCCCCTGTGTGTGTGATCGTGCCGTTCTGGCTCAGATACAGCTGAAGAAGTTTTGTGGAAAGACAAAAAAAATCTTAATTGCATCCATGATTCATGAAGCAGGCAGGCCAAAGCTGTAACTGTTCCCATATGATTCCATTTATGTGACAGTAAAAGCCCAAATCTCCATCTTTCCATCATTTCTTTATTGGAAAAGAAAACTTATACTGGATTTATGAATAGGTATGTTGCGAGTGTGGCAGCTCACCTACACATGTTCTTTCATCTTGTCCCAGCTGAAGACCTGGAGACGGGCAGAGGCAGCGGATCTCCCCCTCAACGTTCTCACAGCCGTACTGACAGTGAGCCAGTGAGCAGGTCCTGGAATCTAACACAAGTAACTCACTTTCACAACAATGCACACTGTATTCTGCTGTATTTTAAGTGTGTCATCCCAAGATGTGAAAAGACTGCTGCACAGCAGGACTCACTGGTACAAGATGCATCAGGCATGAGCATGTATCCATTGAGGCAGTAGCACTTGTAACTACCATGGGTGTTCATGCAGCGATGCTCACAAGGACGAGGTTTCAGGCCACACTCGTTCAGATCTGGAAATAAGAAAAGTTGCATCCTGTTTGCTAAAAGTTATACATTTATGGTCATCAATTCATTTAAATACATTTAAAAACTGGTTTTATTTGCTAAAAATTAGATAATTTTGTAAATGTTTATGAAGCATTGACACTCGTGATCCATTTTTCTTCCATATGGTCTTGCCGTGATTCTCGTCCTGCAGTTTTCAAGCTAATCATCAACCAAAATGTTCAGCTCTTTCAGGACAATCCTGCTATGACTTTTGGTATTGGTGCAGCTTTAGCTTTTTCAAATATTTAACCTTTTCTGCCATTTATTTTCTTATATAAAATGAATTGAGCTAATTTTACATCCTTTAAATCTTTATATCTGTTTAGAACCTTTTACTGCTCCTTTCACATTTTGTTCTGCTTCAGCTTCTTTCAGCTTCCTTGTGCAAATTTAAACTTTTTTCAGCTACTTTCAGCTAATTTTAACTGTTTTTTTCAGCTGTTTTCTGCTCCTTACAGGATCTTTCTGCTACAATTTTTTTGTGCTTCTTCTAACTTCGTTCTGCTAATGTCAGCTTGTTATGCTTCTTTCAGCTTCTTTCTGCAAGTTTTAGCTTTTTTCTGCTATTTCAGCCACTATTTAGCTGTTTTATGCTAATATTAACTTTTTCAGCTAATTTCACATGTGTTGCACTCGTTTCAGCTATTTTTAGCCTAATTCAGCACAAATGTGCTGCACTTCCTTCTGGTATTTTAAGCTTATTTCGGTTGTTTCAGCTACTTTTCAGCTGTTTTTTTTTTCTAATTTCAGGCTTTTCAGCTAATTTTCACTTTTTTGTGTTGATTTATTCTTATTTCAGCTTAATTGGACAAACATTGTTCTTTCTGTTTTCTTTTGCTAATTTAAGATTGCTCTACCTTTTCAGCTAATTTCAGCTGCTTTCAGATTAATTCAAGTTTTTCATGGTAATCTGTGCTACTTTCAGCAAAATTAACTTCTTTATGCTAAATTCAGCTTGTTATTGCTATTTTGGGGTGTAACTGGGACCTTGAGTACACAAGTTCATTCCACCTCATGCACCACATGTGATGCAAATGAAAATAAAGTCACCTTGAACCTTATGCGCCATTCGGCTTTTTTCTGCTAGCAAGCTTTTTCTGCTATTTCAGCTTCTATTTGGCTTTTTATGCTAATTGTAGCCTTTTCAGCTAATTTCACACAATTTGAACTCATTTCAGATCTTTCTACTTCCTTCTGGTAGTTTAAGCTTCTTTCGGACTTTTCAGCTATTTTCAGCAAATTTTTGCTAGTTTCAGATTAATTAATTTTTTTTGCTATTTTCCTAATTATTGTGCTCATTTCTACTTATTTAAACCTAATTCAGCAAATATGTGTTCTTCCTGCATTCTTCAGCTAATTTAGGCTCGTTCTTCCATTTCAGCAACACTCAGCATGTTTTTTTAAGCTAATTTCAGCTGTTTTCAGCAAGTTCTTCTGCAATAAGCATTCACACTGCATTTTTGCAGAAAATACACTTTCTCTCGTTTTCATTTCAATCTATCCCATGTTTTTCAGACCCTCTTCACTGACCTTGAATACCCACCTTGATTACACGTTTTTCCGGTGTATCCAGGGAAACACTTGCATCTGTTGGGGCCAACACACTCTCCATGTTTGCAGCCGTGCTCACACTGAGCTGGTAAAACATTCAACATGAAAAAAATGTACCAGAAATATTAGTGGTGGAGACTGATGGACCGTATTCAAACCGCACATTTCTATTAGTCAGGCATTTCCTCCATATTTTGTGGTTAATAAAATCTAGTGAAAATCAACAATATGCAGGATTTTGAGGCAGTATATACTGACTCCTCTCTGTAACTATTCTTTTGTAATTCAAAAAGCGTTTTGTGAGTTATGCCAAAAAATACTCAGCTTTGATTTGGACACTTCTTACCCTCGCACTGCCCTTTACTGTTTTTCTTCCAGCCATAGCAACACTCAAGTCTCCTGCCATAACGACACACGCCTGGCTGGTTTCCAGTGGGGACTTGACGAAGGTGCCTTTGCAGAAGAAAGATGGTAAAATAACACAATTTTATTTAAAATTAACTTTGATTAAAGGAAGAAACATACAATACCAAACTGCGCATCACTGTGACCAAAATATTACCTCAGCAGCCACAAAAAAACACTGACAGTTACAAGACCTTTACATTCACAAGCACTTAAAGTGATAGTTCAGATTTTTTGAAGTGGAGCTCTGAGGGTACAGTATGAACAGTTACTATCTTACCTGTTGTAAATAACTCTTTGAATGACCTCAGTTTGGAAAACTTGAGTTTCACAAGCTAATAAAGAGTTTGAGCAAAGCCAAAATGAATTGTTGCTGTCCTAAAACAATTCAAATTCAAAAGTTTTCTTTGTGGCACATCTGTTTATTAACTTTTACCTTTAGATCTTTAAGTCATTTTTACATTGCATGAATTTTTACATAGATTTATTATTATTTGAAAGCATAAATAGTAACAGCTAATAGTAACACTTTAGTGGACTGTGGGCCGATTACAGAAGGGAGAATGTATTATTTCTGACAGGATAATCAAGCAGTGCGAAACAAACTGTTTATAAAACACTGTTGGAATGAACCACAGAAAATTTGAGACTGGAGTTGTTTTAGAACGGCAGGAATTTACATTGGTCCCCGCTCAGGCTATATGTGTGTCAGTCCAATCAGATTTAAGATGATCTTTACAAAACATTTCAAAGTTGGAACTAGGCACCTGCAGAGCACCTCAGTGTGATGTGTGAACAGAAACGGCCATTCGCTTTTGTGGCACAAAGCAAGACAGCACCAGAGCTGAAACAGTCACCATGAGAAAAGATCAGCTGGCTTTGTGGCTCAGTAATGTTATGAAATGATGACATATAATTTGTGTGACCACCTGGTTGTGGGATTAAACAACAACCAATAAAACTACTATACACCTTATTCCTGGGGTCTCTACCGTATAAATGATTATGAGTACAACTTCCTGTCAGACACAGGAAGTAGCAGTAAGCACTGGTTAACTATGGTAGTGGAGCACGGACCTTGGTTGATTTGAAAGTAATTTGTGTTCAAACAAATAAAACAATGTTTTTGTTTTGTTTACATTTATTTAACAACCATAAAGTTTACTAGAGTAGCCTTACAGAGTACCTGTTGTGTTCGTGGCTGCACGAACAACCAGACCAAACTAAATCAGTGGCTACATTACAACAGTGTTTGGAACACGGACTCAAAACAAAAAGAGCGTTCCTGCGAATAGCAACATAGTTTCCATCTCCTACCTACAGATGAGGAGTTAAGAAGAATGTGGCTGAAAAATGTGAACTTGAAGAGACCACCCAAAACTTTGTTTGTGTGCTCATTTCACTTTGTTGACGAACGGCCGACGGAGGAAAACCTGCATCCTACTTTGTGGCTGGACTACAATAAACCACCGAAGAGACGCCGGGTCTTCAGAAGGATTGAAAACAGTGTGACGAGAATATCAGGGATGATTTCAAGTGTATGGAGGACACGGCATTATAGTATTTGTTCGTCTTTGGTATTACAATTTTCTCTGCAATTAACCCAAGCTCGGTGATGGAGGACTTTAAGGCTTTAGCTGGGCTCTATGTCTGCTTGAAGGTAAATAAGATTGTGCCCCACCTCTATTAACAAAATGTCACTGGCCTTATCACTGTGTAGCTACTAATACACCTCAGAGCTTTTCAGGTTGTTCATTGCTTCACCGTCAGAAGAACCAAGTGAAGTAGCTAAATATGCTAGTAGATGTAATCTGCAGCCGCTTCTTCAGGTCGTCCTCCATCGCTCGTCCTCAGAAGGCGGCGGTATGATTATATTGTCCTGTTGGAGATCTGACAGGTGGTGTTCCTACATGTTTAAATTAAATCCACAATGCTCAGAGAAACTACAGCTCATACTGGTTTCAAAAACACAACGTTTTGAAACCATTAGTGAAAAGGTCAGACTTCAGGGGTATCTGAGGCAGGCTTGAAACACAAGAGTCAGGGTGGCTTCTGGGCAATACCAGATGGCTAGGCCTCAGACTGACGAAGCCTCTTGGATGAAGGGCGAAACGTTTCTTTTTAACAAAAAAAACGAAGTCCAGATGACATGATTCAACCGTTTTTGTTACAGCTCGTACTGTTAACACATAAACAAATGCTGGTTCTGGTCCATGACGGAAGTCGCACGCATAATTTACGCAAGGCAGCATGGGAGCTAGGAATAAGGTGGATACGGAGAAAAGGTTAACTCATCTGAGTTCTGCTCCATGGCTTTTTATGTTCCACGATGCTCCTCTCTTCATTTCCACAACTACGCAGGATGTTTTCCATTCCTTCCGTGATTTGCCAATGGTCAGAGGTAACGTCTAGTTTTTGCAACCATTTCCCAGACGTGCTTCTTGAAAGTACCTAAACTGTTATTCATAACTCAAGTCATTCACAATTTTTCAAAGAACCTCACTTTAACAGGTCTGAGCTATCTCTTGACACTCTTCTATCTTTATGTTTTAAATCAATTTACTTTTTAATCATGGCTTTGAAAACAAACAGCTCATATAAAGTATCTCCTCACAGGCTTGGTCAGTGATAGAAGTGAGGCTCCCCGTGGAGACAGGATGTAAAGTAAAACACACAAACCAGATGCTCCACACACTGATACCAAACGCATAACTCAAATTCACCTTGAACTTTTTTTGGGAGTCTTGTTACTCAACTGAGATGCAAATCTAGTGTAGCTGTTAAGGAGTTAGCATTACAACTGAAATAACCTACAGCAAACAGATTGCATTGCAAGGAATGTATTTTTAGCTAGCTGAATAAATTAGTCATGCTGCAAATCAAAAAAACTGTAGCTTTCAGCATCATTAAATTCACTTTCAGGTACAGAAATATAAACATTGATATCCCAGATGTTTAGGTGTTGTGGTAGTTGGAATGGTAAAAACAGCTTGGGCTCCAGTGGGACTGAAGGAATCTGAGACTTGACAGAAATCAACAGGAATAGCCCACAGAGAGGCGACCCCAAAGTGTGACAGGTGCTCTTCGGTAGTTAACAGTTGCTGTGCCAGATTTAGCAAACACACACTCACCATCCTCTGCCGGAGCAACGGGGTACACGCCTTCAAAACTACAGATTCTTATGTAAATGTTTCAATTGCACAATTTTATGGGAAAAAAAATGGTGTCATTCTTTAAATCCCATTTAGAAATGGAAGAACTAGAAGTAAGAAGTTCTCTCCCCACAAACTTCCAGTAAAGGCACTTACAGTCAAACTCATACACTCTTTTTGTTTTCTATTTGAGACAAAATCAGTATTCAAGCATGGCTTGCACTTGCTGCAGATCACAAACACAGAACCCATGCTCTGTTACTCTGAATGACTTACCTATACGTTTGTGTGCTGCCAGAGGAGATGTAGAGCAGGAGAAGAAACCCAGCGATCAAAGTAAACGGCTGCATGTCTGACACTGTGAGCAGCCGGGCTGCTTTGTTTCCCAGGAGGCTGACTTAAGTTTAGTCTGGGAGTTCTGACTATTCCTCCCAGGGCTTTACTCTCATTAAATAAGCTTAGACAGGAGCAGGTCTCACTGCAGCTTTCACACAGGGACTTCTGGATGTCATGAATCTGTGCAGAACACAAAGTCAGCGTCTCCTGCAGAGTTGAAACAGTCTTTTTGTCTTTTTTCCCCCCTTTGCTACACTCTGTATCCCATAATTTGCTTCCCCTTCTTCCTTTCTGAAATTCCAGAGGTGGGTTGACACTTTGTGAAATGGCACAGCTCTGAGGCAGATAACTTTTGGGGGTGGGTTTGGAACTCGGGGGTGGGGATTTTCTGCGGGGTTCTCCTTTCTTTTTGCAAATCCAGACCACAAGAAACGTTTGAGGAAAAAGAAGAGGAAAGCGTTTGGTTTTTATGGTTTTGTTTACACAATGTTAACGCCAGGGCAACCCCTTTATGGATTTTCAGTTCTATGCTAAAATAAACCTATGTATTTGGTACTTCATGGTTTAACCTCGCTGTATTTTTAATAATTAGCTGTATTGTGTGGAGCTGCAGCGTGCAGAGGCCTGTCATTAGCAGCCGCGGCACTCTTTGATGTGCAGCTCACAGGTTGCAAATAAAGCTCTGCTGTCTGTTTCACACATGTTTATTTCCAGTTCAGCCGTTAATGTGTTCACTGAGTTTGCATAAAGTCAGCTCTGACATCTGATCCTTCTTGTTTGTTCCACTACGAATCATCAGATCATGTTTCCACGAGAGCTGCAGGATTTACCAAATATCAGTTATTGTTGAAAACCTTAAATGTAAAGTCCTTTTTGCAGTCAGCTCAGAGTTTGTTCCATTTACATGAGGGTGCAACTCCAGGAAAAGAAGCTTAATGCACTTATATGAAAATTGCAAATGGAAGCCTAAAATGAGAGGGGAAGTCTGTGGTTCAAAACTGCAAGCAGACGATTATTCTACCAGACGTCCAACTCATTCACATGCCTGAAGTGTCGAGTTTCAGAAAAATCTGTTTTTGTCTCCTCATTTGTTGTAGTGATATTTCTTTTTTACTCGGATGTATCTATTAGCACCAACCTTCTGTCAGGGGGGTGTACTCTGGAATTACAAAAGAAGATATCCGTTAATGTGCATCACAAAGGCAAAACATACAGGCGCGCAGATATTACTTTGACATTTACTGTAAATTAAGTAAAAAATCTGTGTTGTTTATATGTGCCACATGTTTCAGCAGTTGATGCTATCAATCATCCTGGCAAAATATCACTCAGAAACCTTAGTTACAGTGGAAATTGAGTGTCATACTAAAGCAACATTCTTAGCAACAATGTTGAAAAATAGTTAAAGCTGCCTTCAGCTAACTCTCATTGGGACCCCATCAATGAACTCTGTATCCCTCCTGTGGTGGACTTGGATTGAACACCCAGAAGAACAGACAGACAGAGTGGGTCTGGTTACTATACTTGAGCTGGTGCATATTTGATAAACATCTCTTCTTCATTTGAACTGATAATAAATAACTTGATAAACTGGACAAAATAATAACCACTTTTGAAACAAAATTCCAAAGTGAATGAACTACTTGTCAAATTAGTTAAATTGTCTAAAATCCAGCTCAAGTAAGTAACAAATAAAACTTTTGCTCAAAGATGTTCCACTGCCCTTAGATACATGTGAATCATTGCTTTACATTAAGTCACTGAAAGCTTAATTATCGCTTTATGTCGACATAGTGGTACAGTTATTACCTCTTAATGAGAAGGTTGCAGGATTGAATCCCGACCCGGGCCCTTTCTGGGTGGAGTTTGCATGTTCTCTCCGTGCATGCGTGGGTTTTCTCCGGGTACTCCAGTTTCCTCCCACAGACCAAAAACATGCATGTTAGGCTGATTGGTAACTCTAAATTGTCTCTAGGTGTGATTGAGTGAATGGTTGTTTGTCTCTATGTGTCCCTGTGATGGACTGGAGACCTGTCCAGAGTGTCCCCCGCCTCTCGCACAGTGATGGCTGGACATGCGCACCAGTGACCCTCACGGCCTGAAAAGGAAGAAGCGGGTAAAGATAATGGATGGATGATCTTTTTATCTTGTTTGGTTAAATCATTCTCCAGAATATCATTCTCCAAAGTCGTATTCTTAAGTGCGCTGTGTCAGTTGTATTAACTTTTGTTGACTCTATTTCAATTCTGTTTTGTATTTTATTTTATTTTATTCTTTTGGCTGCTCCCTTCTTCAAGGGTAGCCACAGTGAACGAACTTGCATGAAGCTTTGGCAACCAAATTAGTTTTTACGCCATGATGCAACCACCAACCACTGAGCTACCTCAGCCCTCTGTGTGGAGCAGAGGGCTGTCATCTCAACAGATTAATGTGTTCAGGATGCAGTTTGTTTATGTAATGTATTTTAAAAGACAAATTGTCTCCTACTTTAACAAGAGTTATAAGTGTGGTAAAAGCTTCAACCTTTTTTATTCCTCATCTTCACCTGTTACATCATACCATCCTCTTAAGTATGTATTAAGTAAAGTATGCTTCTTTCTGCTCACTTCTTCAGGTGTCATCACATCAAGCTAATCTGCATGAAAGATTTGGCAATTTATTTTATGCTGGATGCCCTTCCTGACGTAACCTGGTCTCAAACCTGCAACTTCAGGATTACAAGACTGCTGCACTGTCCACCAAGCTACTGCAGCCACATACACTGTATTAAGTATCTATCAGAATGGTGGCCACCTGGCAAATAACAATAACCATGTCAAAAATACTGTAATCCATTACTTTCGAAGCAATGACTTATGGGAGTTTTAAACTGTTAGAATTCAAATTTAGCTGTGCAGCTAGTTTGTACACAAACAGGAACAAGTGAAAATTGAGGTTCTCCTGTTAATTTTATTTCTATCCACCTCAAAAACAGTGCGTCAGCTTATAATGATGATCATTCCCATTTATGAAAAAAAAAAAAAACTTGCTAGATATTGTTTATTTAAAGAGATAGTCTGATTAATTTTGAAGCGATGTTCTGAAAAATAGTACTTTAATAACCATGATTATGAAAGTCTTATAGAGAACAACATAATGACGTTCACATGAGTTATGCTGATGGTTAGCCACACTTTTTAAAAATTGTTCATAGGCTTATTGTTTATAAAATAACTTCTACTCAAAAATATCATACTGTTGTGATAGAAACCTAAAACCTAGCTAAAATACACTTTGGCATGTTTATTTAGCTGGTCCCTGTTTAATCAACCGAACACCTTCCAAACTACTTAAATGTCAATGTCTTGAGGCTGTTGAATGCATCAACCTGCGTCTTGTCCGTTGAAAGTTTTACTGAACAGTCCAGATGGGCTGATACAGCTGGCAGCCTCAGGACATGAACATTTATTTAGTAACACTGATATCTTTATTCTATAACTCATGAAAGGGTGCTGCAGCCCCACCAGGCTCTAATTTCCATGTAAACTATGCGGTCTATGATGTAAACATGTCAGCTTTATTATTGGGTGACTGTCTTGGCTAACTTTTCAGCTTTTGACTCACAAAATAAAAGTTGCGGAGGCTGGTGACCCTGTCTAATTGATGGCTGAAACGTACAAACAAGCTATTTAAATAACAAGTCCCCGAGCCTTTTGCTAACACACAATTAAACACACACATTGTCCAGTACCTGTTACATATTTCACTATATGTCTGACATCTCAGGCATGTTTACTGTGTTGGAGATGAGGTGAGTTGAGAGAATCTGATGAGAGAAAATTGTTACAACAGTGACCCCACATGTCTGGATGAAACTTTTTTTTTTTTAAAACATGTTAAAAACAGAAAATGCATAAAAACATTTAACTGGCAGTCAGGATAGGAGCTGGTCAAAACGCTTTAGAAGAAAATTGTTGAATTTTATTGGTAAAGGCCAACCTTTACAAAAAAGTACATTTTAAATACACACAATATTTTTTTGTTAATCATTTGACAAATATCCAAGACAAAGATTTCTTGCTTAGTGACTTGCTAAAAACAAGTTTTTTTTCCTCTCTACTGTATTACAATAATACTATTAATATTTTTTTTACCTCAAGTCCAACAAAAATAGATTTTTCTTCTTCTTTGAAGATGGACACACTTTTTTTTGCCCATTTAAAAAAAGTAGCACATAAAAAAACGAGTGTTCATACTGTATTTCCTCAACCTGAGTGGTGTTTTATCTATGTAACTTAAATATGTACCTTTACAAAGCTCATTAATATTGTGACTTGATTCATTTCTGACACCAGAGGTCTCTGCCTGCTTGCTCTTTGAGTTGATTTACTACAACGCAGCAGAAATGTGTACACTTTGTGCTAAGTAGCTATTGATTGCTGAACTGTGTACTCTGATCCATGGACTTTGCTGCAGCCAAGTACTTGTGACATAAATAATCAAGGATGAATTAAACTAATATTTGATACTTTGTTTTTCTATCATTTACAACTGGCAATAAAATGGCTTAAGGACTCTTTTGTAACATTGTTGAGCCGTAAGAAGCATCTCCCTGTTACTTCCTACAGATACTTCATGTCAGCTTGTATTTCACATAATGCTGTTTAAAATCCCACTCAGTCTTATTCTACAGTGTGGATCATCTTTGTTCTTTTGCATCTACTGTACCCACTGTGAGCAATAAGCAAGGCTTTTACTATAAAAGGAGAAAACAATGATGAGTTATTTTGAAAGGGATGTATGCACAACCACATCCTGCTCTGCAGCGTTAGCAATAAATGCACAGCAGGCAACACTGTTCTATAAAAGGCCCATGATCTTTAATGGTAAGATGGTTCCTCGTTGGAGGTAATGTGCCCACTGCTGTCTTGATTTAACTATCATAGTTGCATGTGGAAGAGCGGTTTGGCTTTCATTGCTGTGCTTCCTGTTAGTTGTGCTCAACTAGTTCAGCAAAACTGTTGCACAACGTGGTTCTTGCTAAAACTGCATTACCTT